TTGAATTCAGTAAACATAAACAGCTCGGCCTCGGTCGGACATACCTGTCGGATTTGTTTTTGTTTTTTTTTTCAACAAAATTTGTTAACGTACCTGTACAAATAAGCAGCTTTTTATTAACTTATGGCGTGAAGTTTTAAGATTATAAATATTTGAATTAATTATAAAGAGAATAACATTTAAATTTCTTATTTCGGTATGACTAGCAGAGCAATTTTCAATGTAAACAGGGGGTAATCCTCTGTGAGGTCATTTTCTGAAAACTTTTGTTTAAGTTTTCAGGCAATTCATTATCAAATAAAAATCACACTTTAGTATGAAGGTATGTTAAGATGCCATTTCTCTAGTCTGTTGAAAATTCGATGCGATAATCTGACCTAAATTTCCTGTTCAATATTGTGAAAACTTCTTCAATACTGTTGAATGACCATGTTTTCTTATATCTGTATCAAATTTATCGGTGCACATCGTAAAAACCTTTGCAAAACGGACACCTTCTTTACAAAATAATTTGTAGTTGTATCATATGTAACTCGATTTTGAAAATCTAAAGTTATTTAAAGGAGAAGAATGATACTTAAGTGCAAATAAAGAAAACACATAGACCTTTCCTCATCGGCGATAAAGAAATGCAATACGACAAAAATCAGCGGTAAAGTTCCGCGGAGCTGAACATAAAATGACTAAACAACACGCATAACCTACTTGCAAAAATATATTGTAGCGTAACCATTTATAATATAATTTTAATAATTTTATGTTCAGTTTCAAATAGTCAAGCTCATCTGTTCTCACCGATAATTAAGAAAATGAATACAATAAAATCGGCACGTAAAAGACATAAGTAATAACGGAACTGACGGAAATTATTGCTAATTACAAGTAAGAAAGGAGCTATCTTCCGATAGCAAGAGACCTTTTCAAAATTTGTAATTCTTTCTCTTTTTTTTAAAGGTCATTCCTGATAAATACACTGATAAATACAAGGTCCAGGAGAGGTTACACAGAAATATTAAATTTTGTATCAAAAATAGTGATCACTCCCATTTCGAACTCACGGGAACAATTTTAGAAGCATGCTAAGGCAACACTGGAACACGTTGTCATATGGGTGTGCGATCACGTGTTTCAATGTATATTGCATTTGATACAGCTTTTCGGAATTTGTAGATGCTTATGATAGGTACGAAAATGCGACCGAAAAATGCAGCCTTAATAGAATTGTATTACATTTCCATGTTTATGGAACCAATGAGTGACCTCTGCTTTTGACTTAAGTTGTAAACAAGAAATATTGTTGGACGTTATTAGCATACCTAGTACATAAATTAAATAGTTTAACCAATATGCAGCCTGCAATGAAAATACAACTGCGTCGTATCATATTTTATTTTCAACTGCGTCGTATCATTTCGTAAAAGTCATTATTTTCTTTGAAAATAAACATCTCTTTTTAATGAAATTTTAGTAAATGATGCAAAATTATATTTCGAAGTTTATGGTGAACACTGAAACAAATAAATAATTGATTTGAAGAAAAAAACGATAGAGCAATATGAACTGCGTCGTATCCACACATTTTCATAAAAATTCTGCCCCGCTTCGAGTTGCAAGTTCGCTATAACTTTTGTTTTACAAAATAGTTGTGCAAGCAACATATACCGAACGAAGCGGAAAATAGTGTAGCGTGTTAATACATATATCTGGTTTTCAGTCATTTCTAACAAAAATAGTTATAAGCAAAAACATACGTTTTTCGTTCCAAGATGGCGGCGTTTGTTTACATTTTGTAGGATACGACGCAGTTTTGATTCCCAGCCCTGATTACCGTCGAGTAGAGCTACTAGTACTAGTCTATATTCTTCAAATGAGATGTAAAATTGTTTCGTCAATGCCGATTTAATGACGAAATTGTTAATAAGAACGTCTTCCGACCTACAATAGTTTCGTAGTTTTAATAACGCCGATTTTAAGACCGAAGTTGTTATTCATGATGTCAGGGATAAAATGACCGATATTATAAATAAAATCGTCGCCGAACTAATAATAATATCGTCATTGTGTCGATAATAAAGAAGTTGTTGATTTTACTCGAAGATTTTATAGTTGCGTCGTCTTCTCTTTCAAATGACGAAGATATTACTGAAGAGACGCTGAAAAAAAAATTGCGTCGTTGTTGATAGTTTCGTCGAATGCGAAGTTATTATGAATAGTTTCGTCAACATTATATGAAATCGTCGTCGATGTTAATAAACTAGACGCAGATATTTTCTTATGTATTTATATAGGGAAAATAATAACTGCGGCGGGGTGTACTCTGGCTTTCCATATTAAAACAGGTGCTAAAAATGTGACCGAAAAATGAAGCCTTAGTAGATTTTTTATAACATTTTCCATTTTCGTGGGACCAAAGAGCGACCTCTGCTCTCGACTTAAATTGTATACATGGTCACTTGTGCGCATTCATAATGATCAAAAATTCGCAAACCAAAAATGGTTACTAGACTACTTAACAAATAATTTAATAGCTGAACCAAAATATGCAGCTAACTGCGTCGTATCATTTCGTACAAATTATTATTTTCTTGGAAAATAAACATTTCTTTTAAATGAAATTTTAGTAAATGATGCAAAGTTATATTTTGAAGTTTATGGTGAACTCTGAAACATGTCCATAATTAATTTAAAGGTAAAAACGACAGGTAAAGTGAAACATGTACATAATTAATTTAAAGGTAAAAACGACAGGTAAAGCAAGATGAACTGCGTCGTATCCACACAATATCATAAGAATTCTGGCCCGCTTCGAGTTACGGTATGTTAAAGTGATCTATATAAATAACTCTTTTGATGGACAAACTAGTTAAAATGTATCACTTTTTAAGTTTTATGACTATTTTTACATCAGTTTGAAATCACATATTGCCTTTATTTAAGAGTTAAAGCAGTACAGCCGTGTTAAGTTAGTTCTTCTATTAAATGTTTATAAGGTCAAGGAAGTTTTACTATAAGTTGCTTTTTTCGTAAATTCTGTTTTGTTTTACATTAGGCAAAGTACTGCACAAAGAAAAGTAGGTTAAAGAAACTCTTAAACATCCCTTCTCTATTTCGTTTGAATACAATGTGTCAGAATACTAATGTTGTTGTTTAATAAAACTATCTATGTCATTTTAAATTGTCGTTTATAACTCTACACAAATTATTTCTATGACACGATTGATGGCCGCGATAGTTGTCAAAATATATTTTAACAATACGCTTGAATATTTTTTCTCTACCAAACTTTATCGTTTAAACAAATATGTTATCTTTGTCTCTGGATTAAAGAAAGATAGATTAGTTTTTTGGGGGTTTTTTTCAAATGCGTGTACAAAATGCACATAATCACAAAAATACAAACATTCAAATAAAATAAAACATCACGTAATCATCAAACTTTTCATTATTCAGAAGCAAAGTGTCATACAAATACATTTTTGGACTGTATTCACAATACGTGGAGAATGATAGGAAATAAAGATATATTACTAACAAGATAACATTTTTATGCCCCCGCCATATAATGGCTGGGGCATATAGTGTTACCCTGTTCCGTCATTCTGTCATTCCGTCAACATCAGTTTCCATTAATTATCTTAGTAACCGTTGCAGACATTCAACTCAAATTTGACATATCATGAGAAAATACAGGTCAAGTTCGAATTTGATCATGGTCCGATGATTTTTGACAGAGTTATGCCCCTTGATGAAATTTTCCGTTTCCGTTCATTATCTCTCCAACGGAATTACACATTCAACTCAAATTTGACATATGGATACCTCAAAGGAATTTGCAGGCCAAGTTCGAATTTATTCATGGTTCGATGATTTTTGTGCCCACACTTTGGGGTGGGGGTATTTAGATTTACCATTGTCCGTCCGTCCGGGTGAACATTCAATGGTCTAAGAGCTTCATTCCTTCCATAATTTTAGTTTAAAAAAGAAGGAAATCTCATAAACCGACTGGTTTATGTGGTAATTTTACTGGTTTATGGGGGAAAATGCCACATAAAGATCAAAGAAAACCCACATAAACCCCAATCCATCCGTCCGTCCATCAGTCCGTCCATTCGTTCCCTTTTTTATGTCGCACGTAACTCAAAAAGTATTTGATCTCGTGTCATGAAACTTCATAGGAATCTTGATCAGCATGTGAAGTTGTGCACATGGGGTTTCACTTGTGGCTTTATTCTGTTTTGTCAATTTTATTGCCCTTGACTTAGTGAAAACCGTTCCGTTATGTTGTGTTTTTTGTTCCGCGAGTGCTTGAGTTAGAATCAACCAACTTTACAGGAATAATGAAACTGTGAAGATAAGCACTTGGGGTTTTGCATGTGGAATTATTAAAGGTTAAAATTCACAAATTTTGAAGCGTCAAAATGAAAAAAAATAAAGTTCCATATTTTAAAAAAATAAAGATTGCGATATTGAAATAAGACATGGAATGGTCTAAGTATGTGCTACCGATTCATTTCCGACGGTTTTCATGTTTGTTCTATCCTTACTTTTCTTTAGGCTTCAGGCTGCTAACTTCAGACTGCTAGGCTGCTAAGCGTCAGAATTAAAAAAAAAATTAAGATAAATTTCAACATCTTAAAAAATAAAGATCACGATATTAAAAAAAAATTCCTAAACTTAAAATCCTCTTTTGTTTATAATTGGTCCGTTATTCGCAAATTTTTTCTGCAATTGCCACATTTGGGTGCCGTTTGAATTGAACTTTCCTGGGCGGTGTTTATTGTTGGACGTTTCACTCCCTTTCGGATCTTTATTTTTATATATTTGAGGCATGAAACTGGTATTTACTGGATAGATATGAACTCAAGGGAAATTAGATTTAATTAGTATACCTTCATTAGAAAAATCAGGAGATTGATATTTAACATTTACTAATTCTGTACATGTATTAGATGTTGTACAAATTTCGCCTTACGATAATGTTATTGTCATTTTAGGTGCATTGATGAAAGCATATTCGTAATTGTAAACTGAAATATGTCAGACAATACGAGTAAAAACATTGAAAGGACATACTTTCTTAGGACTATATGCATGTATATGGACCTAACAAAAGACACTCTTCTTCAGTTGTTTAAACATTTAATCAAAAGTGAAAATATTACAAAGTTCTTGACTGACAAAGATACAAAAGCGAAACTACGAGATTTGTTTAAGAATGGTGTCCTGAATAAAAATGAATACACTCTTGTAAGTTCCACATGGCCGGAACCTGAAAAATTTGATATCGCATTGTTAATAAGGCTTTTCCTAGGATTATGCAGGGATAGAATATTAGGACCACAGCTAGGATGGCATACCAAGCCACAACCTATGGATGCATCTCTTGGTGCAGACCTGCTTCGTTTAAGAAATACCAGGAATAAATTGATTGGTCATAGAGAAAGTGCAAAACTGGATGAAGCAGAATACATTCACATTTTCAATAAAATGGAAGCAATATTAGTAAGGATATTTGCAGCTTTCGATCAAGAAAAGATGGGTAGTATAAAGAAGACATTTCGCGAGTATAAGGACTTATATTTTGAAACTGAGAATGGGAAAATAAGGAGACATCTTGATGAGCTCGCAGAAGCAGACAACGCAACAAAGAGGCTGCAGACGCAAGTGATTATCATTTTGATATTTTAATTACTATGAACTTTGTTTAGCTTGATAGGCAATTTTCGCAAAGTTTTTATAAATAATTAACAATAATTTAAGTTCGATATTTTGATTACTATGAACTTTGTTTATCTTGATATTCAATTTCGCAAAGTTTTTATTAATAATTAACAATAATGTAAGTTGCGATAAAAAGCGCGATTATTCTTTTATGATAAAGGACAAACAAGAAATGAATAATATATTTGGGATTTTTTATATATTGGTATAATTTTATCGTATTTTGTTGTACAGTATTTTTTAATTTCTATGTTTGATCAGCTTTATCCAATGGTTAATGGTTTCGTTATAACTGGTTTGTCATTGATTTGAATTAAATATATTCTTATACATCTTGAAGGTTGAGGAATTGTTGAAGAAATCAAAAGGTAAGACGACTAAAAGTAACTACGACAAAAAATATAATAAATTTGATTTTCGTTTCTATGTATTTAACATTGAATAATTAGACAAAAACAAACTTTAAAAAAAAAGATGCTTTAAAGTCGTGATTTTAACGAATTCGGTAAAGATTATGTATAATGTACATCATATGTAAATACTCATTTGTACGATAATTGAAAGGTGACATTGAATTCAAACTGAGCCTGCAACATTTTCAATTGTGTCATTATGGGCATTCTTAAGAAATTCCATTATATTCTTTTGCCTTTATCACGAAATTTCCAAAACCTGTTTTCATATTGTTACTTTGTACCACTGATACTCAAACAAAAGTGTCTTTATACCCCTTCGAAGACTATACAAGATATATCTAATTAAAATTGTAATGATGATTGTTTCATTTATAGAATTTCAGACTTTTTTTAAGACAACACCTGAGCGATTTGTTCGATACGTCAAGCTGCTTTTTGATGGAGGTGGAACCACTCTTCGTGGTATTCTAGAGAGAGAATTGACAATAGCAGAGAAGAGTCTCGATTTTCTGATTTCCGAAAACAAAGAGATTCTTTTACAAACAATGCACGAAGAATATCATCATTTTCTTTTCCCAAAAGGATCTGGTGAAATAGACCACAATTGTTGGGATATTGGCCTCCTAGCATCTGTCATTCTCTTGATATTTACCGATTTAAAGATGGATGAGATAAATAAAATTGAAGAAATAAAAGTTGCAAGACAAAACTATGCAATGCACGCTATAAGCTGCTTAGATGCTGACGAATTCCTTGAAATTTGGACAGATTTAATCAGTAGTCTTAAACATCTTTCAATGGAAATTGAAGAAGGAAAGAAACTTTACATTGAGAATCTTATTGTCCGCTACAAGAAAAAATGCAATGAAGGTGATGCAGATGATTATTTAGACCAGCTCAGAAAAGCTGGAGCTCCAGTTAAGACATTGGAATGCGTTTACAATGGTAAACTCATATTTTAAATGATCAAAATTTAACTTTAATGTTTTAGCTTAGAAGAACGTTACATGAAATGCTATGTACAAAGTTAAAATTGAAATGAGTTTTTGTTAATTCTTTTAATATGAGGAAGATGTTTCATCTCTTAAACCACTTTTTATAGCTGAATAAATGTACATTTAAAATAGACGTTGCTTAAATAGTTGGTTGAAATATATATGTGACCATCAGTTTGATTGTTTTGGATTTCTCCGTATGCTATACATATTACAAATGTATATATACGAGGGGTTATCCAAAAATTCGTGGACTTTCTTTGTTGCGTAAAATGTATTTGAGATATTAATTTAAAATTTTAACACTGCTTAGAAGAATTAATAACAAATAAACCCAGAAAAATTCAATGTGAGTAGCTTCTAACATTACAACAATATTTAATTTTACATAAACACATGTCGGCGACAGGCGCACTCCAAAAAAATTATTGACGTCAACGTCATAATATTAACGTTCAACTTGTGCTTCAACGTTACGCAGTCAATAACGGTTTACTGTCTTATAAAGTAACGTCCATCACTAAATTTTTTATGCCACTTTAACACTATTATAATGATCGTGAAATTTTCTTTTCTCTGTTCGTCTGCTTATTTTTATTTAATGTTTTTGTAGGTGTCATTTCCAAATTACAACAAAAAAGATTACGATTGTTTATGATCGTGCGATTTTCTAATTACCGCGTGTCCGTCATTTTCCCGTTGTAAACAATAAAGGCGTTTGGCGTTTCTAGCGATATCAACAAAAATAAACGGAAATGACTCAATATTTTAAAGTAATTATTAAGAATGATTTTTTCCCCTAGAAAAAAAGAATGCGCATGTTCCGCTGGGTTTTCTCGTAAATTTTTCCGCTCATAGAAAAAAACGTGACTTTAAAAACTTGGCTTGATCATACGTGCGACCCGTGCCGCAATACTTTTTTAAAAGCAATTATTTAAAAGCATTTATTTATTACAACAAATTAAAATGTTTCTTTCATGTGTCCGTTGAATTTTCGCTGAAGTTTCTTAAAAAACTGATAAATGTGCATTCAAGCCAATACACGTTGACTTTCAAGAGTATTTAAAGTCACGAATTTTGAAAACTCTACATTTTTTCCTTTAAATAATTTTTGAAATTTTTTTAGAATACATTGCACAAAACTTATGAAACAATTGAGACGAATAATTGAAAGGAGGCACAAAATCAAATGTAGAAACCATTCGTTATTATCATCAAAAAGTTAAAAACGCACAGTTTTCGTAAATTTATTGCTTAGGATTTCGAACATTTTCAACTGCATGTTGCCTATAATGTTATAAGTTTTGTTATTAATTTTCCTTTTCTCTTTCTCTATGAATTATGAAAAAAAATTGATTTACTTATGGTTTCAGTTTTAATTTATATTCAAAATAAAAAAGAGTAATGTATTGTCCCTTGTACCACTGTTAAACCGACCTTTTTCAGATTTAGAGATTAAGATAATGATATCTTGTAACGATGAAGAGAAGAAAAGAAACGCAGAGGACGTTCTTGAACAAAAAATAAGAACCTCTCTCTCTCTTCACCAATCACACGACGGTGATAGTTTCTTGCAGATGGAAACAGACCGGTTCATGTCAAGTATTACATCTCATCCAAACATAAAACCTACAGGAATCACTAGATGCTGTATCATGGTTACATTTACCTGTTCAACACTAGATGGAGTAATGCATCTTCTGGACTACTTCATCAGTCACGACTTCCTGAAAAGGATTTGTAATATTTCAAACGAATTGTGCTATTTGTACGGAGATGCCTTTCTCGTACAAGGATACATAACACTTGAAAGTCTGTCAAGCATTCAGACTTCAGGTTATTTATATTTTGTATTCTTCATTTATATAAGTACTATTTCATTTTTAACCCCCTTCCGCATAGCGGAAAGGGGATTATAGGAATTTCCTCCGTCTGTCAGTCCGTCCGTCTGTCTGCTGTCTGTCCGTCCGTCCGTAACACTTTCGTGTCCGCTCCATAACATTTAAACCGCTGACAATTTAAATAACTTGGCATAAGTGATCACCATAGTGACGAGCATAGCGCAATAATTGGGTTGCTACCCCAAGGGCAATGTCACACTTAAAGGTCAAATGTTAAAATGTCTTAAATTCATAATAAAATGTCTAGATTTCGTGTCCGTTCATAACTTTTAAACCGCTGAGAGTTTCTTAAAATAACTTAGCACAAGTGTGAGATTGTGCAGAGCGCAATCCTGGGTTGCTTCCCTCAAGGTCACTCTTTAAGGTCAAGAATTAAAAATCTGCATTATGTGTCCGCTTTATAACTTTTAAACCCCTGAAAAGTTTTTTAAATAACTTGGCACAAGTGATACCCATTATGAGACAATTTGCAGAGCGATATAATTGTGTTGCTACCCCCATGGTCAAGGTCACACTTACAGATCAAATGTTAGAAAGTCTACATTTCGTGTCTGTCCATAATATTTAAACCGCTGCAACGTATTTAAGATAACTTGGCAGAAATGATCACCATTATGACACCATTGGCAGAGCACAATAATCAAGTCACAATCCTGAAGGTCAGTGTCACACTCAAAGGCCCAATATAAAAACATCTATTTTTCATACTTGCTGTATAACTTATTGACAATTTAAAGATTTTTAAATTACTTGGCACAAATGATCCCCACCATGACACAATCTGCAGTGCTCAACATCCAGGTTGCTACCCCCGAGGTCAAGGTTATATGTTCTTCATAATGTTTTGACTTTATTGAAAATTTTTAAATTACTTAGCACAAATAATCACCATCGTGAGGCTATGTGCTTATGAAATGCATGGCACAACATCAAGGTCATAGTTGGTAAAAGGTCAAGAATTACACTTTCATGTTCATTGCGGAAGGGGATTTTGCTGTCCGTCAGACTGCCTTGTTGACTTATGTTACATCGTGCAATCATATCGAACTTTACATGCATTTTGTTTATTTGTTTTCATTTTGTCTTAGAGGTTAGATTACATATATACCAATTGATTATATGCCCCCGGGCATATAGTAATTGAACCGTCCGTCCGTCTGTCCGTCCGTCCGTCTGACCATCTGTCCGTACGAGGTTAACCTAGAACGGCAAGTTGGATTTTTCTTAAGTTCTACCTGTACCAATGGCTTCATAATTTACACACTTACTAATCCATACAAAGTATATGATCTGGGCAAGTTACATAACTATGGCTTCCATTTGCACCAAGTTATGGCATTTTCAGCACTTATAAAATGAATAATGGCAAACCTAAACCGGCAAGTTTTAAATATCTTATGTTCTATCTGAACTGATGGCTTAATAATTTTCACACTTACCAAAACAATGTACATGATATTGCCAAGTTATATAAATGTGCCATCCATTTTCCCAGTAATTTCCCTTTTTATCACTTTGAAAATAGTGCCTTGTATGGTTCACCTATTCCGCCAAGTTGGATTTATCAAAATATTTCACCTAATTACTTAATTTATTTATTGATATCTTTCATATTTGGTAGGTGGGTACCTTTAACGGTCCTCTAATTTTTGTGGCGTTAGGCGTCTCTTGGTCAAGGTCAAGGTCACTTGTGTAAAAAAAAATCTAAACATTTCTGTTCATACAGCCTTTATTTTTAAGTTAATGTCTTTCATGTTTATAATAGTCATACCAAGGGAGGTCCTCTTCCTTAACCTTTAGTAAGGGGTCATTTGGGTCAAGGTCACCAATGTCAAAAATAGATTTTTTACACTTTTACAGGTGTATTAACCTTATTCTATCGACAGATGTCTTGTATATTTTGTAGGAACATAAAATTGAGGTATTCTCATTTGGATGGAGGTAGTGGTCAGTTGGGTCACCAGTGCTAAAAATAGATTTTTACACTTTTGCTCATACAGCCTTTATTTAATGACAGAAATGTATTATAATTGGTATGAAGATAACTTGCATGGTATTCTTCCTTTGGATGGAGTTAGGGGTCAGTTGGGTCAAGGTCAACAGTGCTAAAATAGATTTTTACACTTTTGCCCATACAGCCTTTATATATTGACAGATTTATTTCATATTTGGTAGGAAAATAAGTTGCATGATATTCTTCCTTTGAATTGAGTTAGGGGTCAGTTAGGTCAAGGTCACCAGTGCTAAAAATAGATTTTTTACACTTTTGCCCATACAGCCTTTATTTGAAATATTGTTACTGACAAGAATCTGAACCGGGGGCATTTGTGTATAACAAACACGTTCTTGTTTACTCTGTAATTTACTAGCATTTGTCCAAGTCCATATCATTTCAGAATTTACGTTTACTATTGTTTTTTGTTTGTTTTCTTTTTCTTGTTGTTTTTAGACTGTCAAAAACATGATCCTGAGAAAGGGATCTCACTTCCATTAAAATGCAGTTCTATTGAGGGAATGGAGCATATTTTGGATACTGTTCAAACTGTTAAAACGGCAACTACACTAAACAGCATTGCTGATAAAATCTCGGAAAAGCTCGAAGAAACTGTATCCATTCATGTAACCACTAATCTATTTGAATTTAGAGATGTCTTCAACGATGCGGGTATTTAGTAATTTAATCCTTAACTTTCCTGTATGATTAGGCATTTAGATGTATCCTTGCGAATGTTTTGAAGAAAGTTCAAAATCATAGTTTTAAGTTTAAACAAAGTTTTATTTTCACTTCTAGAAATTGGTCAATACTATAAATACAATTAGTTTTTCATGACCTCATTTCAATTTGTAAGTCATGGGTTGATCTTTAAAAACATCTTATTTTTTCGGAAAAGACTGTTGATAGGTCAAGATAGAGTAAAACATAATCTGTGATTTATATGATTTTAATCAGTCTGATTATCTGTGAATTACTGCGAGATACAAAGCATATTTTATTTTCACATGTCCTTTCTGTATGTTAATGTAGTAACTTACATATATAGGTGCACAAGACTTGAGATCAAAGAGGTGTTCTGAAGGTGATCAAGCTCTTAAAAGATCTTCGTCAAATGAAAGTTATGGAAACCTTGAATCAATTCCAGAATCATTTGAGCTATTAAAGGTGATCCATATTGAGTAATATAATGAACAATTTAGTCTTGTATACATGTTAGACAACTGAACTTACGATAGGGTTCGGGTCATGTATTTTTGTAATCATCTTTTAAGCAATCGATTTAGTTGCAAATTTGAAAGTGTAAAAAAGCGGGGTTTTTTTTAAAAAAATACCATTTGCGCTGTTGAACTTTGTTAAATTTCTTCATGCGTCAATATTATTTTGTGAAGCAATCGCTGTAATTTTCAAGCTTGATAAACTGAAGATCTGATCACGAATATCGACGGTTTAAAATGAAATTTAACCATTAAATAGATGACGTCTTAATCTCTACATTTTGCTTTTCCGAATGAAAAGTAGTTTAAACATTAGTTGTATCTAAGTTTGGGGACCTTTCTGATGAAAATTTGTCAGAGTTGAATCGTATACAGATAGATGCACAGTGCGTTAACTGGAGTGCATGTATTAGTTACCCGCACTCCAAAACATGCCCATTGATTGGCTCATTTTTTTCTGGGGTTTACTTATTGTGACGACAGAGAAAAGGAAAGCGATAGAAATATCATATTAAGATGCTCGTTCATTGGTTTCTTTTTTCCTTTGGTTTCATCTTATGACATCAGGAACGTGTTTTTATTTTTAACTATGATACAAAAAAGGAAGAACATCAAAACACTCGGCAATCTGATTTATACTCGGGGGCTACGCCCCCTCATACAAATCAGATAGCCTTGTGTTTCGATGTTCTTTCTATTACTTTATGAATTATCCAAACTTACAATGTAATGTATAAAGTACAAACAGTTTGGGTTGGCTATCTTTAATTCTATCGTACTTACTTTTTAATGAAGTTTAATGCATATAAGCAGATGTGTATATAATGTTTATTTGTAGTCCGTGCATGCTAAGGAGTCCGTTTGCCCTCCAGCAAATTCATAAGAAACCGGACTTGTCAATATATTTCAGTTAGGAATGTCGACTTCAAAACTAGTTAAAATAATTTACGTTTATGCAAAATAGTGGAAGAAAAGTGAATTCTAAACTCAAACTTTGATAACTGTAATGCAGTCAAATGACTTGTTTAATATGCAGCTATCATTGGCCTTATCTAAATGTTCAGGAAAGCCTTTATCGACATAAATCCGAAAATCATACTGTCTTTCACGCATGCACCTAGCGCTTTTCTTTATTGTCCGTCCGCCTTCTTTACAATATCTCATACTATAAAAAGAGCACGTAATAGAAGGAGCTAATAATGTCTTTTTTATTTTTTCGTTTTTTGTTTTTGTTTTGGTATTAACAGCATTATTCTGCCTTCTCAAGTGATATGCGTTGAGTAATTAGAGATGATGGCATTATTGCTTACTATTATATATCATTAAATATCATGATATCAAAAAATCATTATGTAAAGAACAGGTATCTTGCCAAGAAGAAAAAGAGGTGATGGAAAATGTTACAAACAAACAAGTATCTGTCATTCAATCAGGTATTACTTATATATCCTATACAAGTTTTGTAATTCTTTGACCACATCATATCTGGACACAGGTTTGCCTGACAGAATTACTTTTGGCTTTTGACACCAAACTTGGTGTATGGGTAGGTTATATCAAGAAGCAGCTTGAAATTTCTACCCAGGTGTCAGTGGTCAAGGTCACTGATACTAAAAATAGAAATTCAGTTTCTGCACAATAACTTGAGTTTGCTTTGGCCTATCCACACCAAACTTGATGAATAGGTAGCTGATATCAAAAGGCAGCTTTGGATTGCTACCCAGGTGTCTGTGATCAAGGTTAATGTATTCAGTTTTCACGTAATAACTTGAGATTGCTTTGACCTATTGACACCAAACTTGCTGTGTGGCACCTTTGGATTGCCACTTGGATAACTGGGAGTAAGGTCAAGGTCATTTGCTTACAATAGAATTTTCAGCTTTTACTCAATAACTTCAGTGCACTTTGACCTATTGATTGCTGTCATATTAAAATTTGGTTATTGAAAACCTGGTTATCGTCGCATTGCGGCGCTTCTTGTTTTATTTTTTTTTCTAGCGAAGTTTATTTACTCTGCCAGTCTTCAAATACGATTGTTTAATTTCGGACCCTAAAGCCGCTAAGGTAAAATATAAACAAAGAAAAAAAAGTTTAAATTAAATTAATGTTAATTGAAAAAGTTCCACTTCATTTTTCAAGAATTGTTTCATCAATTTTTCAGTATTTAAAACGTATCTGTCAGACTGGTTTGTATTGTTTAACAAAACAGTGTGATAAGAAAATCTTCACCCCCTCTTAAACCCCCCCCCCCCAATTCAGTTTAAAAATGGCCCCCAAATTTCTCTGGGCCTATTTTAATGAACTGCATACTTATGATGACGTCATTACGCTGCTTATGAATTAATGTACATTCTAAATTGAATAAACTTAAATATGGATAAAAACCAGTGGCGATAGTTATATGAGGTGTAATTTTAGTATGATATGAATGAAAGTCATAATAAGATCGGAAAATATCAGTACAAATGTGCTTTTATTCTTGGCTCAAAGGTTTGTTAATGCATTTTATCAGAGGGTAATTATATAAAAAAAAAACAGCTGCATATACATATAGTTTCTAACCAGTGTTAATTGGCATTTTAGCTCCGGTTTTTTTATTCTTTGTGTATAATGGCATAATCACAAGACATGTTAGAATAATAAATAAACGAGATTCATACATGTTACTACAATTCATGGACTTCTCTTTTATCTTAAAAGTGGACTATACATTTCCTTGTTATCGTCCAACGAAACTTGGTATACAGGATGGACTACAGGATGGCAAAAGACTACATGATACAAGCTTTGATCAGAGATTGGTGGTATAACTTACAACTTTTTGAAAAAAGAGTATTTTGTAAAGGTTTTGTTTAATTGGCTAAACTTGAAAAACGTAAAAAGTGTAATTATGTAATATGTTTGACTTGTTAGTCCCCTACCGGTTTACAGGAGGGGACTTTAGGTTTACCCTCCGTCCGTCTGTCCACAAAACTGGATCCCGCGATAACGCAAAAAGTAGTGAAAATATTTTTAGGAAACTTGATATATTGAGATTATGCATGTCTTTTCCTTTTCACCTATTTTTTAAAAAGGCGGTACCGCTCTGGCGTGGGTTCGATCCTTGGGAGATGTTTGGTAGTTTAGCGCGAAGGAAGGTAGTCTAGTACTGGTGTAACTCACCAGGAACGATGGTTAGGATACTATCCGCTTATATGACTGAAATACTGTTGGGAAAAGGCGTAAAATGAAATAAACAAACATACGAACCAAAAATCGTAACAAATTGGCTTAAAACATGGCAATTATAACGATATTTGTGATAAGTCAAAAAGTTGAAATTTGTTATGAAACTTAAAATATGGATAGAAGGTAGTATGGAAATTATACACATCATTTTAATCTTGACAATATGGAGTATATTGAGAGCTGTCATACTTATCAAACGTCGGCAACCTCGTCAAAATTTCTGATTCAAGTTTTAGACTTTTTCACTATAAGTTCTTTATTTCTAAAGGTATTTATTTCAAACTTCTAACATAAGTTTCTGGTCATCAACCACATCATATGTGACAAGGTTTTAACTCTACTACAAAAATTATCAGAATTGCCTCCGAAAAAAAATGTGTTTTTTAAAATAACTTCTTTATTTCTTAATTTATCTTCTTCAAACTTCATATATATGTTTCTTTTTATCATTCAAATCATTTGTGAGAAGGTTCAATACTCTAGTAAGACTATTTCCAGAATTATGTCCCCCTTGAACTTGATTTTTTTACGAGAAATTGGTATTTTTTACTCCAACTTCTTCATTTCTTATAAGATTTACTTCAAACTTCCGCATCATTATAATATGGCAAGGTTTATAAATTTAGCATCCTTATTTCCAGAATTATCACCTCCTAAAACTTTGAATTTTTCTGATTCATTCTTATAAATGTCTTTTACTTCAAATTTCAAATAAACATTCATTATGAACAGCTTCATTACTAATTGTTCTCTGTTACACTCACATCATGTATGACATCTTGGATCATTATTTCAAGTGTTTTCTTCTCTTTAAGAATTTTGCTTTTTAAAATGTTATATTTTGGTAACAGGGATTTTTAAAAATTAACTTTAGAGTGTCCTTCAATCTGTCTGTTCATTAAAACAGTTTCTTGTGATCACTTTTAAAGAACTTTTCCAACAAACTTTCTTAAAAAGAGAAAAAATGAAACATTAGTGAATGGCCAATGGCCCGTCAGATGTTGTTGGGGTTCTAACCGGTAGGGGACTTATGGATTGCTTGCAATACTATGATAATTGCTTGCTTTTTAGTGTTTTTTGTGTGTGAGTGGGTCCTTTTTTGAATGACATGAAAAACAAAAGACAATTCAAAGCAAAAAGATAGAAATAGGAAATCATATCTTAATTGTATATCGACAGCTAGATTTAAGTTTTTTTATCTATTTACATTTAGATTCTTAGATTTAAAGAAATCTAGTTATATTAAGATTGTTTATTGTTTTATTATAAGTTGGAACGGAAAGAATCATATCTAAAATTCTTTTTTTCAGCATTCACTAGATGAAAGACCAAATGAAAACTTTGATGACACATATTCACTTGACAAGATGTTACGAGGATTATCTGATAGTGACTTGACGTTTGATCATGTACTGCAATTAGAAAGAGCGAAATCCACTTTTCGAGAAATAGAAGCACGTGGCAGAAAAGTTACTGGCGAAGATCTAAACGATTTTCAAACTGATATTGAACTCTTTTTCACTCGCTGCAAGTAGATGAGTCATATTCGACGAGTGAAAAAAAAGAAAATCTTTTTCTCTCCCAAAAAAACCCTTTAAATTTCACCCTTTTCGTTTTCTGCATCTAAAAAAACCCCCGGGATTCAAAAAAAGACTCAAATTTTTTTAGGTAATTAAAAAAAAATTTTAAACCATTTCGTTATTTGTGGCCATCACGGGCTGTTTTAAAAACACTTTTAAAAGGATGTTTCCCTAATAAAACGTTTTATTTAAATTTTAGGGTTTTTTGGGTTATACTTTTTTTAAAAGGGTTTCGGGGGTTAGAGGGTTTAGTAAACATTGAAAAAGGGCCTTTTTCCTTAAAATAAACTGTTTTTTGCAAACTAAGCAAAAAGGGTACAATTTTTTCGGTTCCCCGCTTTGGGGATTTCCTTTTTGACCATTTTTATCTGGGAATTCATTTGGGTCTTTTGGTAATAAGATACGGGTTTAAAAAATTAACGATCATAGTCACTGTTATCTTTAAGAAAACGATCTGTGCAGTTATGAAGCCTTTAAGAAAATGAAAACATTTCACAGTTCAATTTGTACATAATTGTAGATTACCTGGCTGAAGGAACAGGATAGTTAACCTTTTTAACACTGAAGGGCAAACATAGTATGTCTAACACATAAATAACATTTCTTGTTAATGAAAAGTTTGAATAACACCATAATACGATACCATGTATCACGATATTTAATAATTTCGTTACTTTACTTTTCTTCAGGAATTCGTTACGTTCAAGCGTCACATTATGCCGAAACTTGTGTCGGAGGATGAGGATTATCAGAGAAAAAAACAAGGTATATTTTAAGAACTAACTGTTAAGCAGTTTAATTTATTATACAGTTAATTTGACATACACTTTCGTTCAAACAAGTACTTAACTTGTCGTATGCTCATTTCGAACTTTTCATTTCATTTCTTTGGAAAGTCAAAAGGGTTTAAACAAATTGTTTTCTTAACAAAATATTGACCTGCTAAAACTGAAAATGATTACACTTACCTTCGGTATCTACCAGATTAGTTTTCACATCTGTGCAGTCTTACCAGCCTTTATATTATTGGTAGATCGAGTATTATTTTTTATATTGAAATCTCATGTATTTTTAATGTTACATTTTTTAATTAAAAGTAGGGAAAATCAAGGTATAATCTAAGGTGAATGAATAATTATCAAATTACACATTTGAGCAATTACACATGTAGCAATAGAAAAGTTCACACAAATTGCACGTGTTTGCTTTAATCATGAATGAACAACTTGACATATGTTTACTGCAATAAATTGTCTTGGAAAGCTTAACGAATATATTCAATAACAAAAAGTATATTTTATGTATTTTTTCAGAACTGAAAGATTTTTTCTGCATTACAACACCCTCAACAGGAAACGTTAAAAGAGAAAGGGTTCAATAAAAGGATTTCGATATCTTTTGGACGTGGCCGTTTAATGTCCGCCTACAAACAGGTATCAGGTTACTTCCTATAGAGGTATTTTCTACGAGACCTACCAAAGCAAAACAGCAATAAATATATACATATCATTGGTGAAGATATGGCAGAGCCTCAACAGTTTGCTTTTGGAAAACTTTGTCTCCGCTTGGGGTTGACGCTCAAAGTGAGGGAAACGTGCACATTCTCAAGAATTTTGAATTTCGCTTTTTCATGATATCCCTTTCGGATGTGGGCTCAGGCGATTCTGTCACGAAATGATAAGATTGCATCTCCAGGTGATGAGTACGTTAAAACTTTAGATCAAGTACTACAACTCGAACCAGACAAATGCCTAGTCATTCTCGATGGATTAGATAAGTGGAGACATAATACTTATAACAAGTATTCTGCATTGGAAATTCCAAAAGGAAATCTGTTTTCAGACTATGTGATTCTCGTTACAGCAAGTCGTCATTTGAAACATCGCATTAAGAGGGAATTCGGTGATAAACAACTGCTGTACATATGTTAGTCTATTGACAGACGTGTATATATCGTTGCGTTCTTGTTGCAGTTTAAGATTATCCGCAAAATCTGAGAGACGTCTTCACTTTTACTTCGTCTCTCCAATCTCTGATTTATTTTCACCTTCTTCTTCAATCAGCATTCTCATTGTTATGTCATATATGCAAATTAATTCATGTTTAATCCTATAACATAGACCATGACCCTTATTTGTTTATATTATGATTTCGGTCATGATACCAGCTTCACATATGCCCACAAAGACATATACATGTACATATATTTGAAAAGGCGTGTTACTCGTATTATGAATTTGGCAATCTGTTTTGAATATTGTATAACAAATATAATATTCACTTTTTCTATAAAAGTATGTCTTTGTTAACCTTTAAAATGATACTATCAGTTCAGTATTGATATTTCGCTTTGCTGTCACAATAGATGACCACATAATGTGAGATAAGTTTATATTAATTTATGTAATATATTAGCTCAAATATGCCTTATGTATTTTTGGTCAGAGTTCCGCACTAAAAGCTTTTTTGTGTAATATATATTCGTCGCCATTTTTTTGGGATCTGATCAAATGTGAATCGATGGGATATTTTCTTGAACATTATACAAAAAGATATGTAAAGTTTAATAAATATGTTGGTTGCAGTTTTTCTTTTGTTTTTGAACCCATATTTACTTACCCGAAATTAGGTTTATTCGAAACTTTCATTTCATTTTATGAATAGAATCTTGTGCAGAATAACGAAGATGATAACATAAACAATACAGAAAAAAAACGTTTTTCAACGGATTTCAAATTAATTTTACCCTAATGTATATTGTTTTTATGTAATGAATGTTATACTAAAGTAATTCCACAAAAGTTTCTTTTGACATGACGGGACTAGAAATATGTTTTTCGAAATGTCGAATGTTTCATTTGAATAAGGTCTAGAACGAACACTTATAATTGGTGTGCAAAATTTCAATTCATTCTCTTACTCCCTTTTTCCAGAATAATTATTCTAAATGTAAAAAAATGACCAAAAATTTGTAAAGCGTTGCAATGTTTTCACTTAAATCGAGCTTAGATCAGCATAAAAAGTACCATATTCAAATTATTCCTTAATATATATCTGAACAATATTTTGTATATCTTTCTGTTCAAGTGCCTTAGTTGATATATGTTAGAAGTTTATATATATTCATTAAGTTAATGTTTTGACTTTTGGACACAATTGGAGTTTTTTGAGTTTCTTCGAGTTTCAACAAAATAAATTAAGCAATAGTATATAAATAACGTTTGATCGCTATACAAAATACCTAAAGAAACGTAACAGTATTTACTGAGCGTACCAGAAATGCTTACTGAACAAAATCTACAGATTATGCCAGAAAGGTTCGGGGCGGTATCTTATTTCGGTATTCAGATGCACACAAGATTCCGAAATCGTGACCGTTATTCGTGATCTCATGACTGTAAAATGTCACATAAAACTCAGTAAATTTAATGAAGAATATGCTATTAACTAGAAGAATTTAAAGAAAATTTGTAATTATATAAGAAGAAAGCATGATTAACAGAACTCAATGTATTTGTCAAATACGTTTATAAAGAGTAAATTAAGATGATAATAATAATAATAATGGCAATATAGTTACCTTTATAATTAAGATCTATAGTCGAATCGGAAGACATGAGTTTTTATTTCTTTCGATAATTACAAAAGTCAGCCATAGAACTGGTGTCAGCAGTTCGAAAGTCAGCCATAGAACAGTTGTCAGCCGTTCGAAAGTCAGCCATAGAACAGGTGTCAACCGTTCGAAAGTCAGCCATAGAACAGGTGGCAACCGTTCGAAAGTCAGCCTTAGAACTGGTGTCAGCCGTTCGAAAGTCAGCCATAGAACAGGTGTCAACCGTTCGAAAGTCAGCCATAGAACAGGTGTCAACCGTTCGAAAGTCAGCCATAGAACAGGTGTCAACCGTTCGAAAGTCAGCCATAGAACTGGTGTCAGCCGTTCGAAAGTCAGCCATAAAACAGGTGTCAGCCGTTCGAAAATAAGCCATAGAACAGGTGTCAGTCGTTCGAAAATAAGCCATAGAATTTATGTCAGCCGTTCGAAAATCAGCCATAGAACTTGTGTCAGCGTCTTATATCAGTACAGCAATAAAGATTGATAATCAATAATAACTTTTGGGGTTTAACCCTTAATCTGCTATGTTTCTAAAATGAACTTGTTCAGCTTTGAATTTGGAACATCCCGATCAAAGTTTTAGAAAATTCAAAATCAAAATACAAAGAAAAAAATAGCAGCCAACGGATGTGCAAGCGAAATCCGACGGCAAGTGGTAAATGCTTATTATGTTTGGTTCCTACTAATTAAAGGGCTAAAGGTAAAGTGTCAGAAATGTTTTGAAATGTTTAGTGAAAAGTGCTAATAATTATTTAAGATTCATTGTGACAAAAATATGTTGTATACGATTATTTCACAAATTAACATCCAAGATAACAAGGCAAAAAGTTGAAGCTATAATTTCAAATTTATCTTAAGTGTTGTAAACTGTAAACTGACATGACAGGAAGTTTATAACAGAGAAAACTACGCGTCAACTTTTGGTCGATATTAGACTTGTTATCTCAAATTGTGTAATTGATTACTGCCCAAACCCTTGCTTAAATATGATTTAATTGATTTCATCCAGATTCATTTATTGAAAGTGTTTAAGCACTGGTCCTAATATCTCATCATATTTCAAGTACCGCAAACAAGTGGTTATATATGTGTGAAAAACGCACAAGTAGAAGACAGCAAAACTTTCTCTTGTATTTGTATGACAACTTTACTATTTCATTAAATTAAAATATAGCAATGAGTTTGTTTGATTGTCCTCATATAACAGAAATAATCATTAATGTAACTGAAAAACATGCTGGTCGCTTTATTAGTAAAGCTTGAGTTGAGTTTCTGTCCATACTGACTCATTTGTGAATTATAACGTACTCTTTCTCCTCTTTCTCTCTTGTTTTATTTACCTCCAGCATGTTAAGGAAAACGGACAAGAAACTTTGCGTAAAAAGGGGTCCGTACTCGACAGCGAAAGCTGCATTTTGTGACCGAAAGGGCGGATGGACCCTCATTAAGCATTAACAACATACATACATACAACTTTGCTTAGACATTTTTCTGTTTTCGATAAATTATGTTCACTGTAATTCATTATTAGTGTCATTTACGTGATTGATATTCAGAAAGTACTTAATCGTTAGGCAAATGTGTATAAAAATAATCAACGCTATCAGCAAGGCAGTTTACATGTTCCAAAACCTGTTTGTAACATATGCTGACATCTTGTTTGACATTAGAGCTTTTTGTTTTAATTCCTTGAGAATAGGAATTATAGATGAATCCTTAATCGTCCCATACAGTGTCTCGTTTGTATCCGGTTTCCAATTTTGTAAACGTGCTCCCCAGTAGTGATTCATTCTAGCTATATCCCCATTAATGTCAATAGATTGTCCCATTCCTTCTATATGGTTATGGTGTATTCCAGCTTCACTGATATTTCTGGCTCGATAGAGAGGTTTATCTAGCTCGTTGGTTCTGTACGAATGCCGACGCTGTAAACGCTCTATTAACCATGCGAAATCTTTGGGATAACCCGAAAATATATAATTAGGGAAGGATATTTCAACACAGTCTGGATATTCAGATGTTACGTTTTTGATGAAACGTTTTAAAAATCCTGGTTTAGTGTCTCCAATAACAAACGGATATTCATCAATATCTACTGCTATGTGCCATTCACAACGATTTTTATAATTGTCTATCGAATGTTGATACGCCGATACTTGCGTTTTAACCATATCAAATGGAGTATTATTGTGCCAGTCGTGATAGAAAACCTCTTTTGGGTCAAACAACTTTCTACACCAATATTCTAGTTTTTCACCGATCTCTTCATACGTGTCATATAAGTAGACTTCATCTACTCCGGCATACTGCATGTAGCGTATCCATTGTTCGACCTCATATGTTGTAAGTTCTGGCTTATCTCCGCGGTATATCCGTACCATCACGACAGCACCAATGCAAAATATGTCTTCCACTGTTTCTTCCTTGTCAACTTCTGTATTAATTATCACCTTTTTAACTTGCCCGACATGTGCCGTGTCAATCACATGAAATCTCTCTTCGAGTCGCTGAACGCTTACAAACAAAACATATATTATTAATATCCATGCAGACAATGCGTACATTAAAATTTTGCTTTCTTTCCTTAAGAAAACCATGTTAAAACTATTCACTTGATTATAAGCATTATCTTAATATGCATGCAGTGCATATTTTCACAGGCATGTTTAAAATAATACGAAAGCCTTTGAAGGTAAAATCTATAAAATAAAAAAATCACGTATCAAACGAAAAATGAACCGGTGTTTATAAGTAAACATAAACCCACAAAATGAGAGCCAAATATATTTTCCCTTTTTTACCCAAATTGTAACATGCAATAATTCAACAACCATGAAAACTTAGCCATATTTGAAGCTAGGTTTTTAGTTTACTATTTTTTAAGTTATGATTGTGAATAAATGCAATAAAATGCCTTAAACATGACTTAATTGCGTTGATTGATGTCATTGGGTATGCCCAGTATTTATGTATAATATAAATAATTATCAAATTACATTGTTATTTTCCCTAACTTGAAAATTTTTTTTACCTGTACAAGCCCCCGGGGAAAAAGCCTTTTGCCCCAAAAGGTATAACCCCCAGGCCACGGGCCACTTATTTTTCAAATTTGACAGGGTAAAATTTTTTTTTTTAAATTTTTTGATGAATCCCCTTTAAAATTCAAACCAAATGTTTTTCCAAAATTTAAAGCTTTGGGATACATTCCCCAAAAAGTTAAACCCTTAAAAAAATGGTCGGGGTCTAAATTTCCTAAAATTTTTGATGTGAAGTACAAAACGACAACTCAATTTCAATTTCAATTAATTCACTCCATTGACCTTTAACAAAATAAGACATTCTAATCAGGTTTACACGTTCAAGTCCTAAAACGGCATGTTTAATATGCATAGTTATTGGCAATCTAACTTTAAAAGTTGGTTTTTTATCCCAGTAGTCTTTTGTCATTTTGCTTTTTTTAAAGTGGGCTATTTCACTAGTAAGCTTTCGTTGTTTTATTGGGATTTATTTTCACCCGTGGGCTTTTATTACAAATGTGTAATTAATGAAATATACTTTACTTTTATAACAATGAGCCTTATTCCTTCGGGGTATTGGTTGTTGTCGTTGTTTTTATTGTGTATGTTTAATTTGTTGTTGTTGTTGTAGTATTGTTGTTGTTTTTTTAGTTTGTTCTGTCTTTTCGTGATTTCACATAATTTTGTCATCGAGCATTGGTGTTATTTTGTTTTCATTTTGTGAATCCTTAAAAAAGTGTAGAACATCTTGCTATGACGCATTCCTTTCGGATTATTACTATATTACTCGTTACCCTTGCTTCACTGCGCCTTTTCCGTGGAATTACTTACCGTTGCTCTTCGCGATATGTCTTTTTCTTTACATTATTACCACATTAAATTTGATCCCTTGATTAACTACGCATTGTCCTTGAAATTAATAACCATTGCTTTTGACGGCACGCCTTTTCCTTTGAATAAGTAGTACTTCTTTTATTACAGTCACTTCAACACTATCTCCAGTTTTAGTGTTTTATTTCTGGAGGTATAATGATCCTCACCAGCTCTCGTATATTATCGAAACAAGTAAGGATTGATAAAAACATTGATTTGAAGGACATGCTCTTATCTGAAATACACTTGAAATGTTGATAATGCATTTTCATAGTTGCCTATTGTCATAACTAGCTACGTCCTACAAAATGTTGCAATAGTTTATTAAGTAATCTAGCTATCTGTCCTTATACTCAGATATTGTGTTTATATAAATATTTACACGGATTACACGCACGTACACCTAATGGTCCGTTCGTGCTTGCCTGAAGTAAATGCACGGATGGCCCCCTGAGATCTTCCTCCAGCTGGAAAGTCGCCATATGATCTTTATGGTTAGTGTGACGTATAACCAAATTAAACAAAATAAATAAATAAAAAAAGAGTCATGTATTTTAAACGAATAACAACGATACAGTTATTTTTCTTTAAATATTTAATATAATGGAACGAATTATCTTTCCGGAAATAAAAAGGAATTGTCTTTCAGAAGTGTTGCCATTTTGTTGTTGTACGGTTTATAGAATTCATACAACAGGTGTTTAGTCTTTTGTAACATGTCATAATGCTTCTTGGATTCGTTAGATACATTCAAATTCAGTATTTCCGATAATTTTCTTGAAGATAATGCACCTGAAACAAAAAGAACAAAACATCTTCCATGAAACTGAGTAACATTCTTTATCTTTGGGAAGCTTTGTTTATGTCTACAAGGAAAATGGCGTCATGGTTGACGTAATCATATTGGATGGTTAACTATTCTGTACATTCTTAAAAACTTTGTAATTAAATGCCAGACATAAGTTTATAGACTAATTGTATGTGATTTGAACATTAGCATTATTATGTAGTACAATCATAATTCACAACATTCACATGAAGCTATCTGTAAGCGGTTTCTAACTTATGTGTTTCTCACAGATATCCTGTTTTTGGACGGTATTAGATCTTTATAGATAGTTGCATTTGATTGCCACACACAGCACCACTTAAATAAGTAAAAGTCTGCTGAGTAATCAAGACATTCTATATACGCTAACTTTTAGACATGTTAAAACTTCAAACTTAACAAAATCTCATATAAATAGAGCATATGGTAAAACATAGCTCTGTTAGTATTACGACGCATCAACTTACTCATGTTAAGAAACTTGAACGTTTCTTTTAAAGTTTGTCTCGTTTTTGTTAGATATTGTTCCATATTAATGACAAATAATTGATCCTCCTCAAATACAGACAGAAGTTCTTCCATATAAAAGACATAAAAACCAGCTCGGAAACTTTCAGCCAAATACTTACTCCCCTGAAATATAAAATGAGTAAATGTTATATATTATCTCATGCTATTGCTTGGTTTATAGTTAATTTTTAAATACAATATTTTCATATTCATCGGCTAAATCAGTTGAATTAGATGGGGTGGAAACTAGATCAAGCAAGAATAATATTGCACTAGTATCACCGGTGATCATACAAAAAAGAAAACAGGTTTGTATATATAGATAATAAAAATATGTCAATAAGATTAACATATCTAAGGTGAGACAAAATAGTTTCATATGAAATGTGTAAAGTGAATAACAATATTTTCCATTTAAAGGCACAATATGCAGAAAAGGAGAGTTACATAGTAATTGTTTAAGAGATATAACTGTAAAAAGAGTTGAATGAAATAGTTGGAATTTAAAATTTTCCTTTTACTGAGCTTAATTCATTTCTAAGAGAGCTGACCTTTTTGGCAGATACTGGTAGTCAAGTTTAAGAACGTAGGCCCGTGACACTAAAAGCGGAAACATTTTAATTAGTTAACGAGAAAACGTAGCAGACAAGTAGGAAAAAAGAAAGAGTATCCACCATATGTAGAGAGTTATTACATTGAATGGTATTGAAGTTACATAGGTAAAGAGGGATTAGATGAAAGGTGAAATGCAATGAAAACTAGAAATGAGGCTGATCCTTTGACCCAGAACGTGTCCCGTATAATTCACGAGAACAGTATCATGGTTAGAGAAACCCCAAGAAAAGTTTCAAATGAGAAAGCACTACGTCTGGTGTCAAATGCTTTACATTCTTTGGAACCTGGATATGAAAGGAACCTGAATATATGGATATGAAAGGAAACAACATTTTGTACTACCTGTGGAAGTCCTTTTTCAAATTCTTCATCATAAATACAGCGTCTCATCGAGAATTTATCAAAGCATATCGTGTATTCGTCTATCAATGTTTTGGCAACATGATGAAACTTGTTCGCTGCTTCATGTTCATCAATATTATGTTCACTACTTAGTTTAATCTGATGCATAAAGTCCGAAAATAGTCTGAAAGTTAAAATCGAACATGTATAATTATAATGCTAGTATTCTGATTGTTATGAGTATATAGATTGTGTAGAATTTGAACATTATTTTGCAATTCATTTGGTATTTTGACATTTTCAGCTGAACATGTAAGTGTACGTGTATAATCATAAACACAAATTATTAACATTATTTGACAAAAAAGTGCAAAATGTAAAGACAGTAGCAGTCCTTTAAATCAGAGGGCATTGTGATATACTACATTTGTACATTATTATGCCATCAATTTTAAGGGGTTTTTTTTCTTTCCCTTTTTTTCTTGTTCTTTTTTTATTTCATGACTTTCACTTACATGACCTAATGTAGCTAGAACAAAGGTCACTGCGGATTATAATTTGATATTTAATTTTGTTACGCAAGAATCACTTCCGTGGTTCTTCTTACAAACGTACACTCAAAATAAGAGATAACGAACAACCATTACAGCAAGTTATGAGTAATAAATGCTTGTCTATTTATAAAAACCAAAAGACAATAATTTGTTGTTTTTTTAATTTACAATCCGCTTAGTTAACCGTCTGAAAGACGAATGAAGTTTCTTTCTTTCTATTCGATTAATTTACTATTTCGACTTATTTTAATTTGACTGATTCTGTTCATAAAAGCTAATTAAATGTGAACTATCTTTTCACCCCACCCCCTAGCACCGGGTTAAAACAACAGAGGCACTTACCTTGACACTGGATTTCTAAAAATAATGATAATCTTTACATCAGGCGTCAAATGTTTGATATAATGAAAATTGGTATAACGTGGTTCCGTTAATCCTTCGTTGCCGGGCATCAGCTTCCAGCCGGTGTGCATGTGAAGATTTGCTGGCGTGGCTTCCGCTTTGAAATAAATTAAAGGGTATAAATGAGCCGCGTCACGACAAAACCAACATAATGGGTTTGCGACCAGCATGGATCCAGACCAGCCTGTGCATCCGCGCAGTCTGATCAGGATACATGATGTTCGCTTACAAACCCTGATAGCGAACAGCATGGATCCTGATCAGACTGGGCGTATGCGCAGACAGGTCTGGATCCATGCTGGTCGCAAACCCATTATGTTTGTTTTGTCGTGACGCGGCTCAAATCTATATCTTATGAATTTTTTTTATAAAATCTATCAACAGAAAAATTAAATTGGTTCAATTATTATATGGTTGATTCCCAAATGAAGTAACAAATAATGTCTCTGTTATTTAACACATGAATAATGTACGTTAAAAGAATAAAATGTTCCGGAACAAAATATTATTTTGTTATTTTAAGTAGGGTTTTATCCAATTAGCTGCAGATCTCGCTTTAAGGCTATTTATTGCCATTTTTATTTCATAAATGCATTTTGGAAGTATTCTCTTTTTAAATCCGAACAATAATTTATTTTATCAGATATATATCTTTATACACCTTAAGCGTTTAAAGTTTAACAATATTATAATAATATGTGTAAGGGTGTATAATGTCCTTTCTTTAAACTTAGTCTCAATACAGAGAAAATTTAAGAAAAGAAACGTGTAAATCTTATAATCGTCTCTAAAAATCATACGGCTGACTCACGCCATTATATAATTTCATGAAAAAAGAAAGTACTGATGTAGGCGAATTTCGAATTTTGAACGATTATTTGTTAAATTAAACTCGAATAAACATTTTCATTATAGGAGAAATGTGTATATTATATGTATTCTAGGCTTACTGAGGGTCCCTCCTAGCTTTCAGCCACTGAGAGAACGAAGTCTGTTTTATGGTTCAGACTTTGGCAAGTTGCACTGTTTTAACTGATCAGGGGAGGTAATTGGTAGTTTATATTCTGCACAGACAGATGAGCTGTGCGCTTTTGAAAAGTGTAGTGCGAAACGCGCAAACTGACTTATAGCATCTTGTACTGTATGAAACACACACACAATAAAATGTTTTTCTTGTTGTTGATGTTGTTGTTGTTGTTGATGATGATGTTCTTGCTGATGTTGTTAGTTTTTTGTTGTTGTTGTTTTTTTTTCCACGCTATTGTCTATATTTACATATTCGCAATTTATTTATTTATCTATTTATTTATTTATCAATTTATCAAACCACTTCATTAAGAATATGATTATTTGTCAGAGAAAACCGCGAGCAGCAAAGATCACAGAAAGAGGAAACGAACGTCGCATAGGAACTTACCAGTTATGCATTTATTAGTGGTGACCCTCCGTCTCGTGCAATTCTGAATGCCGTCTGCTGCACTGTCAAACATTGAGATGTAAAACTTAATACTACGATTATCAATACCTTTCTGGATAGTATCTGCAATAGTGTTGGTTTAAAAATAAAAAAATGTGAGATTAAATTTTAAAATAAAGCTGGTTTACTTTTTCTCCCTGCAATAATAGGTGAGAATAATATGTTTTACAGTAATCAGCTATAGTGTGGGGTTAGAACTAAACAATTTTACTGACGCAAACCCGTTTACGTGAAAGAAATCGATAAGAATTTATAACAATATAAGTAAACAAAATAAATAAATAAAAAAAAAACCCAACTAAGATGGATGGATGGATGGATGGATGGATGGATGGATGGATGGATGGATGGGGATGGGTGGATGGATGGATGGATGGATGGATGGATGGATCCGTGCGCCAATACATCTGTCCGTCTGATCTTAGAGTATAACCATTACAGAGTTAGGACTTGTGCACAACTTTACATTAAGAGACAATTGTAATTTCTGGGATAAAAAGGTGACTTGCGGGATTGAAAAACATCAAAGAAACAAACTCTATAATGACAATTCCCTTAAGATGTCCGTCTGTACGGCGGTCGCTCATAATTAAATAATTAATTCATTGATTTATATCATGATTGATAATTGATTAACAATGTCAATTTCTAACTGATTAATTAATATCTTTAGTGATTGACATTATTCATCAATAACCTCAAATAATTAATAAATCAATCAATCAATCATGAAATTATAAGAAAATAAATGATCAAAATTAATTAAATAAGTAAATACAGTAATACAAATAAATAAATAAATAAATAAATATATAAATAAAAATGGATTCATTAATTTAAAATGAGTTTATTCTTAAAAGAAATACTCACTTATAAAATCGGATCTTTCTGTGATAAATTTAGTGTCTATACCGGCGCGTAACCTAGGAAACCATTGTGCCTCCTTGAAACTTGGTGTCTGAAATTCTGGATGCGCTGCGATTCTGTTGAAAAAGTCAGAGGTACCACTTTTCTTAACTCCTGTAAAATGAAACATTTAAAGAAATATAGCAAGCTATTATAATAACCAACTCAGAAAAAAGATGATCAGTATTTAGCTCTTAATCTACTGAATTTATGTAATGGATTTTTTGTTCTGCAGTCCATGTGAAGTTTAGGGAAAATCTTAATAAAATGAGCCGTGTCATGACAAAACCAACATAATGCGTTTGCGACCAGCATGGATCCAGACCAAATAGCCGTTGGATACTATATTTTGATAGATGAACATTTTATTGTGTTTTCATATATACGTCTTGTGCGTTAATTAAAGACACACTCTCTGATAAAATATCTTAGGATATGGCCATAAAGACATAAAAATAACGCAGTTTTATAGTTTGCAAACCAATGAAAATAAGAGACGCCGTGTGATATGACCGAATTCGCTTAAACAACTTGACTTGTACATGGCAAATGTTGGTTTGTTTGTTTGTTTTTAGTGAACATGAAATACATATTATTGAAAAGTAAGAAAAAATAGATATTTTCTAGAGCATAAAACACGATTGAAAATATATATTTATAAATAAATTATATCTATAATAAATTTATAAATCTCGTTTCTATGAGAGATACGTTCGATAATCACTAAAAAGTGGCAGTTATATGACGTCATTACATTCTTCTATGTGCGCTCAATTTGTGCACTATATGTCTTTTAATGGAGAGAGACTTTTGTAATGTAACGTGTATTAAACTGTTATTTTTAAGCACCTCGTCGTAAAGTATAAGATAAATAATAATGTATACCTATAATGTAGAAATATGGCAGACAATGTAGTCTGCCATCTTGAAACAATGGATTGCTGACGTCACCAATGAAGCATGGATTTTTGTACCGTTGGTCAAATTTAATTGGTGGCTGAAAGCAATATACGACAATAACATGAATATTTATAAGATGATTGTTTCATTACTTGAAACTTTCTTTTTATTATACACATGTACGTATAAATGAAATATTGAGAAATATTGATGACACAAATTGCGTATTTTCATTTTCCGTATTTTCAGTTTAGTGAAGCATATTTTCCGTATTTCCACTGGTGTCATGCCGGACTACTTTCTTAATACACACAATTCTAGGGAATGTGTTTAAAATTCAAAAAGAGGAAAATGTATAATAAACAGAAAATACAGAAAATAAAGTTTTTTTCGATTAACAGGATTTATTTTCATCTTGTGCTATGAAAATTATCATATTTCACTCTACATAAAATAGCCTGAAGGTAGTTATGTCGTAATTTAAAAGGTACTTGTACAACCACTCATGAAATATTGATTTTCATACCACTTGATGAAAATAAATCTTGTATTCATAGAAAAAACTTGGATATCCTCTGTTTATTCAAATAGATATAAAATATTTTTTCTAAACTTACGCAATATAATAATGTAACATCTTTTTACTTTCAAGTATCGTTAAAATTACGACATAATTACCTTCAGGCAATTTTATGTACATTCTTACAAGTAAGTCAATATATTAGAAACACGGTTATTAAAACAATATTTACACGTTATATAATATGGGTGTATAAAGTTCAAACGTAGCCAAATAATATCAGATATAATCAGTTTAATTGTTTTGACAACTGTATCGATAAAAATACCGTTAAAATAAGTTGTACAGTCCCTACGGCAAATATACCAATCATATAGGAGTGTTGGCCCATTGGTTTAGGTGTTTGCCACTCAACCAAGAGACCGATAATGCTCTGGGACCATATTAGAGCCGCGACCATATTTCCAGTACTATGTATACATAGTTCCTGACTACGAGTTGTAGAACGTTAAAAAAGATCACATCTGGGTTAAAACCGGTGTGCTTTAAGTTACTGGGTATGTTTAAAGCTGCATGCCTCCAGATGAGCCAAATTATTAAAAAAGAATGAAACACTAGAAAAATGTACTAAGATTTTAAGAGAGATAAAATACGCACGACATCAGTAATAATTTACATGTTCTGTTCGATTAATGGCTGATTTTGCAGTATTTATCAACATATTTCTATCGCTTGTCTAACGCACTCAGGGCTAGTTTTGCATATTTTGACATCTTTTTGTTTGGTAATTTACGTAGAATGGTGATGTTGTTTACAATGTGTTAATGTTAAACAAAAGCATGTTGGTGCACTTTTTGCTGAATATTAAAAGAAATATGCTTGTACATTGTACATCGAAATTATGGTGGCTGATTTGTGCCATTTGGGGCGAAAACACGAATGGCACAAATCAGCCACCATACGAAATAGATTACTTGAAGCTTTAAAATTTTACTTACAAGACCCATGATGTCTATAATTTTCCTTGGTGTTTTATTGGTTAGTTTTAACAGTTGATCTGCATACTCGGATTTCTTAGGTTTGCTTTTGTGCAGTTTTGATTCTTGACTTTCTTTCTTCTTTGTTCCGGCTTGTTTATCTAAAATATATGTTTTTATATTAATTGAAATAACTATGAAAATGCAACTTTTGATTGGCTAACATAACTTTATATATACTCGTATGAACCGTGAAAAAATTGACCTCTTTTATAATAAGCTAATTATTTCACATATTAAACCACTATTATTTTTAGCTCATTACTTGCACATGAGAATAACTCAACTTAACTTTATTTAAGTAAAGGCTGTTTGTGCCAGCAGAAAGTCTGCCGTTCAAGCAGTCTATCTGTGCTAGAGGCTCGTGCACCCTAGCACACCATTCTCGTCGTCTTAGCCTTCTTCTTAAGGCCACTCCTCTCGGCATAAGTCAGGGCACCGGTAGCTGTTCTGCATTAAAAGCGCCATCCCGAGTCTTCAAATCTTCTGCCGATGCCCTGTGCCTTCGCAGCGACGAGCACGCTCCAAGAGGAAGTGAGAAGTGGTAATGAACACCGTCGGCTATGTACGAAATATATGTGCCGCGTCATGAAAAAACAACATAAGGGGTTTGCGACCAGCATGGATCCAGACCAGCCTGCGCATCCGCACAGTCTGATCGGGATCCATGCTGTTCGATATCAGTTTATTTACTTGTTATAGTGTCTGTAAGCGAACAGCATGAATCCTGATCAGACTGCGCGGATGCGCAGGCTGGTCTGGATCCATGCTGGTCGCAAACGCACAATGTTGGTTTTGTCGTGACGCGGCTCATATAGGAACCGATGATGTCTTAGCTGTAGATCTTCATTGTATGCATTTTTCAAGATAACAAAAAAATAATGCATGTAATTGTTGTTAATCTGGCCTTATGCAATGAGTCTCCAAGGATCTGACGTGTTAGAATCAATCGGCTAACATGTGGTTATCACCAATATGTCAGTAAGATATAAACTTTAGACATGCCGCTATATACAACTTTTAAACAACAACAACATAAATAAATAAATAAATAAATAAATAAATAAATACATAAAATTGTTTATAACACAGCTGCAATAGTGTCTATAAAGGCATCTTTATACTATAACAGTTATTTAAATGTTACATTAATGCGTTAACATCGATAAAAATCCCCCTAAAAACACGTTTGAAATTACTATAAAAAGACTTATATAATAAAGTTCGATTTCTTCAGAAATTTTTTTATCTAACCTGTTATTTTCCTTGCAGCATCCAAGTATCTGTTTAATATTATACAGTATTATACAATATTAGTATAATACGGGTTACTTAGACCAAACTAAATATGGTTTTAGGGGAACCAGTCTCAAAAAAAGTTAGATAGGATCGGGAGTGAGCTTTTGGTGCTTTTGTTGCTGTTATTCATATTTCAAAGGTTTGGGTATTTCTATTGTCATACAAAAATCTTATAAGGGAGCCACATTCTTTTACTAAATTATTATTTAAATTTTGTCTCTTGCATGTCAGCTACATGAATGCTTACCGAAAACATGTTTAATCCTTTATTCCTCATCATTGTACAATTTCATAATATTTATACATAAAATTATACATATACAGTGCCATTTTAGAGAATTGATGGTGAATACTTAGCATTATTTACGGACATTTACACATTTGTACACCAACTCTTTAATAGAAAGGTTAGATGTTCATTGTTATTCCTGTAGCCACTTTATTACAATACCAGGTTGAAATGATATTTATTGTTGCACTTGTGTGTAAAAGAAAATGTGTCATGAAACAGTTGAAAAGTTTTTGCTTACCTTTTATCTTATCATGATTAACAATATTGTTCTTTTTAAGTTTAGCACTGGCATTACTATAAGCCACGGCTTTTGACTTATGCATATCGCTAGTTTTACTTTGAGTTGGATGTCCTTGAAATGAATTATAACTGTCTATAATTACATAGTTGATCGCGAAAAATAATGAAATTAAACATAGCCATATTAGAATTCGTGGTAACTTCTTCAAAAACGTAACAGCCATTGTTTCCATGGAACCAAAATTGCGATTTTCACTTGCACTTAAACCTATATTATCTTTTTTGTCAGTTTTGTCTTATTCGCATATTTCCTCGGTTATTGCTTTTTAGTATATACATATATGTCACTTCTCTCCCCTAAGTACTGTTTTTTCCTATTCTTCTTCACTTAGAATTTGTGGTGTTATTTAGAGGCAGTGTTAATTCCACGTTTCTATAAAAACTTTATTTTATATAACTGAATCACTAAACTTAACATTCGCGAATATTCTTTATAAAGTCACTGTATATTAGTGTTTACTTTTCAATAGACTCTCTTTTACATTTAATGCTTTTATTCCTTCTTCGTTTATTTTTTTCCTTATGAAATACCAATATTAAGTATGTTACTCCATGTAATTCAATATATTTTAACATGAATAGAAGTTTTTCCCAACTTATTACTTTCCCGTATAAGAACTCCCTCTGGCATTTGTTTTTTAAAACTGACAATTAATTCAATTTCAAAGTTAACAATCTTTTATCCCTTCAAGCGACATTTTGTAAATTTAACACTTATTGTCTTGTAATTGAAATGCGTTTGTAATTATTTGTACATGTACCTAGTTGTATGATTTAAACCTATCGTTTAAGAAAGAGTGTAAATATTGATTACAAATCGATAGCATTTAAAATAAGTTGGTTAGGTATTTTTTCCACGGATACTAAACGAATTTTCAAGATTTCAGATTAAGTTAAATTTGATATCTCAAACATAGAAAGGTATATACGCTATAACGTGTATAAAATTTATTTCAAAAGGTCTTTATTTTCAGACTTATATATCCTTCTGTTTGCTTAACCCAGATACTTTTTATAACAAAGACTTTTATAACAATGGGATAAGCAGTTCTAAAAATAAACAAAATCCCGTCCAGACCCATACTATAAATTACATACTTATTATATCTTGTCTTTATACATTCTAAAAGTTTAAGGTCGGTGGTTGTTATCAAACTTTTAAAATGTATAAAGACAAAATATAATGAGTATGTATAGATGATTTTAGTACATTTATAAGGAGACAACCATTTAGGATTTCGTACAGTAATAAGATTTCTTTCTTCCATTTTAATATTAACAACCCTAATGTTATTACTCATACAGTTATGTTGTCGGTATAAATATTAGTACAATTTAATTATTCAATGCTTGGAATATGCTATTTTACTTGTAAATTTTTAAGAGATATTAATTATGATGTGTTTATATTGACATGTAAATGTGTATAATTATGTAAATAAGGGAGATAAATCTACAGTTGATATTATAGATCTCTGTATAATGGACTGAGGAGTTGCCCCTCTTATAAACTAGAACAGTCTGTTATAATTCCTAAAAGGATGGCTAAACAATTAACTGTATGTATATTGTTTTAATTGTATATAGGTATGTATAGATCAGACTATAATGAAATAATAAATAATGATAATATATAGAGAATACATGGTTGTTTCGGTATAGAGAAGGTTTATCCGGTGAGCGAGTGAGCTTATTAGCGAGCCAAAATTCATTTATTAAGCCAGAGCCTGTAAGCGAGGGGTTAAATTGTTGCAAACAACCGTTGATATACGGTAATATAAAACGTCAGGCATTTTTATAACGAATTTAAAATACAGAAGAATTACTTTATTTGAGGAAAAACGAAAATTAGTTCAATCGACAGCAAACGTGTATAAATCATATATACTTCAGAATTATTTAATAAAATGCGACTTTACAAACTTGAAGTATTATAAATGAGTTACATACATGTCAGATCATAACATAAAAGAGATTATCATATGTAACTTCAATAAATACCATGAAAATATCAAGTAAAAAGCAAAACTTTATGGCATTATGCTTAATTTTTTTCGATGTCAAGATGAGTTGAATAAGTAATTATTTCAAGAGATTGACAATTTTAATGGTAATTGACCATTGATGAAGAAAATGTTTAGAAAAAAATATAAAAACCATTTATATTATAAAAAGACCACCCGTTCTTTTTAAAATTGATCCTATATATCCTACAATATTTATTGAAATGCCCATGTGTCACGTGGTTTATTGATTATATTTGCAAATTAAACACAATTATGGCAAAATGTCATGTTATTTTACTTTTACCTGTGCACTCACCATTTACAGTTAGATAGGCATGATGCCACTTTAAATAAATAAAAAACATTAATAGAAAGTCTGTCGGTTGTATGCCTAATTTTTTTTAAAAATCATGTGAAGATTTAAGAATTGTGTTTCTCAATGGTAATAATTCCGTAACATATTATGGATATTCTAACGTGACCACGTGGTTAAGGTGTCTACCTCTATACCATAAAACTTCGGGACCTTCCCTGATAACAACATGGAGTCAGTACTGATCAAGTCCAGGAAACAAACTTGAGAGTGAGTAATAAATGTTGCAAGAACTTGCCAATAGATGTGCATAAAGTATGGTGTTGAACATACAGATATACTGTTTACACAAGGGCATGCACATGGACAAGTTAAATTAAGCTTAAGATCTTGTAAATGAAATAGCACACGAAATCGCCAGGCCGCTAAAACGCCTATGTCATGCGGGCATCTCCAGGCTAGCACGCTCTACTTAATTTTGCCTTAACGTGGAGACCTTGTAATTAGAACTGCGTTGAAGTTAAAACAATTTGTTACTCATGGTGGACTCCGAAAAAATATGCGTTTTAAAAAACTCGCAGTTTTTATACAATGATGGAACAAGATCGCTCGCCCGCTGTTTATTTAGCTAGCAACAGGTGCTGAATATTGTCTTAATATACAACAAAAGGCGGACTGATAGGTATGTAAGGTGGACCTAGAAAAATGGTGTTAAACTTTCTATACTTGAAGACGGAATTGCCGCACTGACTAAAACTACTATTCTACGCGGGCATCTCACGGTCAAGTATCTTGGTGCTTACAATGCCGTGAAGCATCTACAAGCTTTCCACTGGTTAATTGGCAGCATATATCGAAACAATGAATAAATTAAGGTGGGTTCCGGAAAATCGTGCCTTTTTATGAATATTCGTTAAAGAACGATGTCATGAGGGTATCTAGCGGCAATCTTTCTTAGGACAGAGAAAAGTGTCTTATATTTCCAAGAAAATAAACCTCCAATCTTGTGCGCTAGCCAATGCTAAACAAACGAGAACCTTGGACCCTCTGATTTATATTGCTGAAAGGAAGAGAGTCGAAGCTATCGCACTGGGTTATTATCTTTATATAATACTCTTAATATGTCATCTCCTCAAAATACAGCTATTAAAATTATCATTATTATACATAACTGCATGTTGTATTCATATAATTGCATGTGAACATTACTGATTGTGCAAAAAAAAAGTCAAAACACGTGATAATGCATTTTTAGTTTTCAGTTAACATGATTTTATCCTTTTTCCGATTAGTCTGTGATACCATACAGAAAGTTTTTAAGTCACACGGATATATATTTTATTTTTCAAAATCTTGTGAAGTTAGGAGGTTAGCGCCTCGTAACACATGTAAATGCACGTCACTCTATCTATATGTCACTTCACAACATTATCAAACTTGTTGCCGACAGATTGTCAAAATGTTATTAGCTCATTTTAGCTTTAATAAAAAAAAATATATATATATTCATCGCTTACACAGAAATATTACCCTTTCATATGTATAACCATTTATATAGTTATGTTTGGCAATAGTATTTTGATCACTTATAAATGTTTAAGAATGACCTGTCTATAGTAGATTAGTTTTTCAACAGTGGTCATTTTTGCACCCCCCCCCCTCCCCATGGTCAATTTTCAACATGAAAAATGGTCCATGGGGGCCGGGTTCAAAATTTTAATGTTACACCGGCAATAAAGTTGATACATTATGTTTAACAAAAAGAGGCAAATAAGTGCATTAATGAGCCTTGTATTAATTAGCATTTGTATTATTGACCATGTTTTAAATGACTGTAACTTCTAAATAATCATTTAATGGAAGGAATCAAATTTTGAAGCAAGATACGTATGGAAAGTTGGAATTTTTAAAACAAATCTCGGCTTGCAATAAGTGCAATGAATTCATTTTCTTGGGGTTTATTTGGTGAAGTAAATGAGTTTAGTTTCTTTGTCTGATAGATAGAAGCCATGAACTGCTTTTTATTAAATCCATTCTTTATGGAAAGTTTTGATGTTACATTATGTATTTTAAATTATGCTATCTATTGACAGGGCTTTACCAAATTAAAATAATACCTTCCTACCGACCCATTATTTTTTCGATGTTACCAAAATTAAACCTTTTTAGGGTTTTAAATATGTACCAACGGAGGTCATAGAAAAATGGGCGCATGACAATCGAACCAGAACATCTTTTCCATTTATTCTGTAATGTTTTATTCTAATTTGAATAAAGTACACAATAAAATCTTGTTTTACATTTTAAAGCAGCACGCCTCCAAAGTTCAGTTATTTTTTTATGAAAATATAAATTATATTGTCTTAATTTTAAAATGCTTTCTAGCAAATAAATTTAATACACCAAAATACATTTCCTTTCCCGTAAAATTATCTATAACGTGCTGAATATGTAGAAACACTTTTTATTCCAGTAAAAACGGGGTAGAAATATGCAGCTTTAATAAAGATTTTATGTTTTACATCAGTATGTAAAAGATTATATGGCAATAAACGTTCATATAACTTATAAAAAATGAAATATAATACACTCTGACATAAACGTATAAACACGCTAATAATAATAATAAAACAAGCAAATTCGTTGAATTTATATCCCCCGCCGAGTACTGGTTATTATTAACACAACAACTGAAGACATAAGGCTTTATTTATATATTAATCATGGCATAAACAGTAATATTCTTTGAACTTGATAAATATTCAGGGCAATAACAGAGCCATAACTTTGTGTTAAATAGTAAAATCTGGAAATGCCAATGAGATGTATGCATACTACATAACTAATCAAGGGCCATAAATCTGAGTTATAAGTATCTGACTGGAACAAGGCGACTATATGCACATCTCCTCTTAGTATCCCATAAAGTTTCATTGAATTCCAGCCAGTAGTAGCAGAGAAGTAGCGAGGAAACAAATATTCTTCTATATGAATAATATCACTAATCAAGGGCCATAACTCGGAGTTAAAGTGTCTGACCGGAACAAGCCGACGATATTCGCATCTCCTCTTGGTATTGAAGGTTCCCATAAAGTTTCGTTGAATTCCAGCCAGTAGTTGCAGAGAAGTAGCGCGGAAACGATTTTTAATCCATATGCATACTGCATAACTAATCAGGGGCCATAACTCTGAGTTAAAGTGTCTGACCGGAAGAAGCCGACGATATGCGCATCTCCTCTTGGTATTGATGATTCCAATAAAGTTTCGTTGAATTCCAGCCAGAAGTTGCAGAGAACTACTCCGGAAACGATTTTTACTCTATATGCATACTTCATAACTAATCAAGGGCCATAACTCTGAGTTTAAAGGGTCAAACCGGAACAAGCCGACGATATGCGCATCTCCTCTTGATATTGATGATTCCCATAAAGTT